GCCGCGGTGTCGGCCGACTCGCTAGGCAAAGGTTGTGACTTTGCAAGCGCGGGTGGAGGAGTTGCTTCGCCCGGAGCCAAAGGTGGCGCAACCGTTTTGCACAGGTTCAGTCAAAACATCCACGATGAATGTCTCCCCTCCTCTAAGTGCAAAAGAGGCTGTTGGGAGCCAGGGGGTATGTGGACCTCTCGTAGACTTGCAGAATGGTGCTTCCCCGATCTGCTAGCAAACTAGCCATAGATTTGGTTGCATGTCCAGTAGTCAACAAATAGTTTGGTAGGGACAGGGCAAGCTCTCTGGGGCACCCCTTGCCTATGTTATTTCGATAGATTCCAGCGACTCGGCCTACGAGCTCAAGCCATGTTTTTGATGGACTCCTTTTTTGGGTAAAGGGAAACCTTCAGGACAACCTCAGTTTTGGGGATCTGAAAACTTGACGACCCCCCCTTTCTCCGGTCAAAACATTGAGTTTTGACCCAGGTTCCAGGCATTCCTTAAAAGTTTACGCCATAGGTGGCCCATTTTTGGTTACGTACGTAGTTTGGATAGAAATAGATGGCACTGGTTTAGATTGGTTTGATCTCATTTACCAGGAAACCCATCTATTTTACCAAGAGGACACCTATGCTTCACGCATGTCTCAAGTTCCTGGACTGAAGTGAGCAATTCGATGTCGAGCTTGGCTCGAGGAGGCATGTCTTTTGGACGTTTGGTGTGCCCCTTTTTATCCAACCTCCGTTTTGGGACCGGGGTAAGACCGGGACATGGGGTGAGCGATGCGAATCCATCGTGCGAGTTTTGGTTCAGGAGCAAAGGCTTGGCTGAAGTGAATCTAGCTCTGTCATGAGTATGTCTCAAAGCGCGGGGCGCTTGACATTTTGTGGGTTTGTTTCCTTTTCATGTCCCTTTAAACTCACATTCAATCGTAGATTGTCAAGACATGGTTGTTCTAGGGGTTGATTCCAATGATTCTTTTCAACCATTGTTCTTCTCAAAAACCGATCGCTGTTTCCCCTGGGATTCTGCTGGTTTTCTGCAAAGAAGTTGATGCCTGGAAACCAATGGGAAGTGACCCCTGGAGTTGTGGCAAGTATTGCCTTCCGGGTGTCTGTGTCTGTGATCCCAGGGCAATCCCCTGGAATTGATAAAATCGTCGTGCGCGTGGCCTCCGACTAGCCACAACCATAATCCCAAGACGTCAAGGAACCAAAGGAGTCAGACCCAGTTGCGGAGGTAAAGGGAGAGCCGATCGCTTGCTGGAGGCAAAGGGATTCCTGGAAAAGCATTCTTTCAGCCATCCTTTTCAAAGACCGGATCCATTTCGCAGGCTTGGTTTTGCTCCTCTCCAACACCCAGAGCCGTTTTTTGTGTTTTTTTTTTTGCAGGGATGGTTTTCTAGAAAAGAAGTTGATCCCTGGAAAAAGAGACTTGCCGGTTCGATTGGCAGGGAATCGGCCCCAAGAAGAACCATCCAACCGGTGGTTTCCTTTCTCTCTCTCTCTCTCTCGAATGCGCGTCTGGGCGCGTCGCGACAAAGCAAAAACATGCAACATGCAACCAAGGCAATCCCCTAAAGCTTCATATCTATCGCACCCGGAACGGCTTTTTCTTCCTACAGTCCCAGCACCCGGAACGGTCATTCCCTGCCTATCGCCCGACATGGAGCTTCGGAACCCATGCAACCGCGCCGCGCCCCCCGAGGTGAGAACCTCCAGCTCCGTGGGAAGCTTGGCAGCTCTCTTCCGTGGGTCAAAACCGTTTTGGGATCCCATTTTGGGGGAGTTTGCAGCGCCCATTGCAGTCGATTTTGGTGGGGATTGGGATGTTCACTGGGGGTACGGGATTTTGACCCATGGCCATTTGAGCAGAGTTGTTTTTTTGGTAGGGCCCGGAGCTACGTACCCTCACAACACTGCACGTGCGTAAAGTGGTCAGCGAAGACCTTGGTATCATGGAGAGGAAGCGGCCCATGCCGATGTTGAACCTCCTTCAATAGTTAGGGCCGCTATTATATGAAGGTGTTTTGCCAATTCAGGATTCTGTGACTCCGTGTGGGAGTCTGCTATTGTCGACATGTTTTTTTGTTTTTTATTTTTCTCCCGGAGGAGATGCCATGTTTTGTTTGTTTGTTTTTCCCTCGAGGATTGTAGACATGCTTTTCCCCGATCCTTCGCCCCTTTTGAAGGGTTCGCTTTGGGCCCTTCGGCCTGCGATCTGGGAGTTGTTGCTGTTGAAATGGCAAGCCATCAACGTAGAACCCGCCCGAGTAAACCAAATGCAGATGTTAAGCTTAGTATGGCCAATACCTACAACAAGCATCGGGGATTCTAAGGTCCAGCAATTGTCGGCAATACTGAGTTAAGTATTGGCAATACTAAGATACTGGCACTACTAAATTTAGTTACGGCAATACAACAAGAACTGCTGGGAATTCTAGGACTAAGTATTGGTAATACAAAATTTAGTATTGGCATTTCTAAACGAAGTAGTGGGATCTAAGATTAAAAGAAGCATTAGCAACACTCAATTTAGTATTGGCAATACCAAATCCAAGGCAACCCCCAAGTGCTCGGCTGGCAAGATTCCCAGGTGCTGCTTCACCGGAGCAACCCCAGGTGCAAGTTCTGCAGGCAAGATGGATGGCAAATGTCGCCTTTCGGAAATCCGTGGACTTTTTCCTAGGGAGGGGGCCGCCATGGGGCCTGCGTTTTTGAAATCCGCCTTTTTCACACCTTGGCATGGATGGATCTGCTTTCCTAGGGGTGGTTCCTCAGTCTCTTCAAGCATGAACCATTCTTTGCGCAAACCCATCTCCACCCGGTTCTTAGCAGTTTTCTGGCAAAGAAGGGTCCAGGTCAAATAAAGTGGGTTCTTTCCCATGCTACGCGCATGGTGATTTAGTGCAGCGATGGAAGCCAGTTGCCAAGAACCCCTTCAGCGGGCGCCCTAAAGCTGGACTTGGATTAGGGCATCCCCTCCCAAAATGGTGGGACGAATGGTGTCCACCATGTCCACCATGTCCACCATGTCCACCATGTCCACCATGTCCACCATGTCCACCACAGCGGCGCCCAGTTAACTTGGTGGCTCCCGAAGGCCATCCGGTTCCTTAGCCTCTTAGCTTTTCAGTGTTTAGTGGTTGGATTTCCATTTAACCCACGAAAAGTTAAACTTTTGGCGGGGGATCTGAGGGCAGCCAGTTAAAGCTCACATCCATTTCACCTTAGAAGTTGGCCAGGATCGAGTCGCACAGCTGCAGTCCCGGATTGAGGAGCTGCTGCGCCGGATCTGCCCAGAGAATCCAGGGTTCATGTTTTTTTTTGTTTTTTTGAAACGGACCTGAAACCGAAAGGAAACCAGTCATTTTACTTGGTGGTTCAAAAAAGAAATGCCATCCGGTTCCTTAGGTTTTCAGATATGTACTGTTCAGTTGGTTTAGTGGTTGGGTGTCCATTTAACCCGCTCAAAGGTAAACTTTGAGCAGGGCATCTGAGAGACAGCCCAGGTTAGGGGGGGGGCCTTTTTGGCGAAACCCGCATGAATCTGGAGGGGGGGGGGGTGGTGGACATCATATAATCATATGGTGATGTATTTTGACCAACCATTTATAAGGGTGTTCTCTGACACTCCTTGAACAGCACACAGCCAACGATGGCACCAGTAGACAGTGTTGTTAAACATATTTGACAACTGATACATGATAAAGTTGAATCAGACGTCAATTGACTTTAAGTCGTCATAATATAGCATTGTAGGGCTCACGCCAAGACTGTGGGGCTGACACACCGTCAGGGCTTCACAGTCCTTGTCGGCTCTTTCAACATCAACGCTACCTGGACAAGCGTGATCTGGTTGTGCTTCGCCACGCAGCTGTAATGCGCGTTTTCTTGGGATACATACTACGGTACACCAAGGGAGCCAGGGCCATCTGGCACAATAATTTCTCGCTACAACTGGTCGACCCCGAAACATGTGGATCGTGGTGTGAAATTTGTGCGTGGCGATGTGTATGTGCGTTTGTGTCTCTGTGTGTCTCTGTGTGTCTCTGTGTGTCTCTGTGTGTCTCTGTGTGTCTTGGTGTGTCTCTTTGTGTCTATGTGCCTATGTGTCTGTTTGTGTTTGTGTGTCTGTGCCTGTGTTTGTGTGTGTGTGCGCGTGTGTCATCAAAGCCTGGAATCCCGAATGGTCTCACGGGCAATCATCCAGAAGGGGGCTTTGACAAAGGGGATGGTGAGCAACTGTCTTTGCTCCGTGGTGTCACTCCCGCTAACATGAGTGTTAAACGTGGCATAGGATATCCAAAGGTATATCGTCTGGGAAGGAGAGGTGGGAACTTTGGATAGGTTGGTTTGGCCCATGAGTTTTCATAGAAGGCACCCACAAGAAATGAACCCACCCACACCTGCTCCAAACGACCAGACCAGTTGCTTCGGCATTTTTGCAGCTGCCCCTATCTGCCGAAAACTTGAGGTGCTACTGAAAACCTCGTGCTACACCCTCCTGTCTCCACTCATTTTGGTTGGGTATGCCAACTTGTTACTCACGAAGCATTCCCCGGGATTTGTTCAATTTTGCGAGCAGAGGGTCCCTCTGCCGGACGGGACAGACCCGGCGTTGCACCAACTGTTCGGCCGGAGATCCAAAGGGGTTCAAGAAATGAAGCGTTGCCTCCTTTGAAGCGAAACGAAGGTTTCCCTTTTTTTTCAATCTTCGGACATGGCGGTTTTCCTCTGGCTTTTCAATGTGCTTTTCTAGGTGATTTAGAGATCTTCCAATCGACTCGTTTTTTTTTGTATCTTGAAAGGGGTCTGGGTGTGTTGCAACCCGGGGAAAGGGCATTCCCGCGTCGGGATCCAAGAGGGGTTGGTGTGGCTTGAGATTCGGCCCTAGGGCCAGCTTCAAGTGAAGCCAAGAGAAGAAGTTCCATGAGTCCCGAAGGTCACTTTGAGAAATTCCCAGCCTTCGGCCAAGCGCATGAGGTGAGAACATCCAGCTCCAGCGTGCTTTGCCGGCAACAAAAAATGGCAGGAGTGGTCTCAAAATTAAACTGGAGGGGCAAACCGCGGGGTGTGGTCCATGTTTCCACTTACCAGGGCTGATTTTGGAATTCCAGTTTTTTGAGCCACAGCCAAATGGCAGGAGTGGTCTCAATAAAGGGAACCTCGAAGATGCGCCTCGATTTTGTTTGTCTTTGGTTAATCGCCCAAAACTATCCTCAACAGACGCAACCTGGTGGACCCCCCTGCTGGGCTCGAAAAGAAAACCCTTGTGGAAACCGAAAGCCGACAGCTAGTTGTGAGAAGCATTCCTATAGTTCAATTTCGGCGGGGGCTCCTCTTGGATTGGGATTTTCTTGGTTCAAGGGGAGCAAGTCACGCAAGCAGCGCCGGAGTTGTCCCACCTAAGCCAGTGCTAGTGTGTTTTGCCAAATCGTCTTTAGCAGGCCTGTTTTTGCTCAGTTTGAGCCATTTTGCCAGGTGCTTAACATTCACAAATCAGGTGCCTGTTGCTTGCTTTCGTTTCCCGCCTCGTGTTTTGAGAAGCGGATAGGAAGGTCCTTTGGGCGGGAGCCCAGACAGAAGGCCAGACGTTTCATCCACCAAGCAACTGGTGGTTCCCAGTCCGGTTCCTTATTTTTGCAGATCTTTTTTCTTGGTTTGGTAGTTGGGTTTTCTTTTTTGACCCGTTCCTTAGGTTTTTAGATCTTTTGGGTTGGTTTAGTGGTTGGGTTTCCGTTTGACCCACAAGTCAAACTTTTGGAAACGGATTGCCCTGGTTGAATTGCTGGAAAATGGGGTCGGGACGAGCTTGGTCTGTCTCGCTAGAGCACGCGTGCGGTCATTCGACAGGGTTGGTATTGATTGCTGTTGGGTTGGATCTTTAGACTGGAAACTTGTTGGTTAAAAGTGAAACACTTTTTGCAGAGGGGTCAACAGCAACTAAGTGATTGGCATGGACTCAGGGAATTTCGACCATTCCTGGCGAGACCTATGATATATCTCGGAGCTTTTGACAATGGTTCAGTTTTTTGTTGTTGTGGGTGCCCTGTTGGGGTTATGTTAAAGAGAAGCCACAATTGGATATATCACCCCCTTCCCTCGACCACCTGAGGCCCATGCTTTGGATCTGGTTTGAGAAACATCCAGCAGACAGGGTCACAAAAGGTTAACCAGGTGAAAAAACGAGGCGTTTTGTAGGTGCGACAAGAAGATCATGTGAACTTGTACCAGCAGGTTGGAGACTCCTTCCCGGAGATTTTTTAGGTTTTGAGTCTGCCTTGGATAGCTTAAGAAGCCGCAACCCCCCCCCCCTTTAAGTTAGACCAGACCTTGCCCATCTTTTTTCTATAAAAAATCCTAGGGTCCTCCCCACACTTTTAGCAACATTTTAAAACAGCACCTCAAAAAGCACATTTTCAAAAATCAACATTTTAAAGCAGGTATTTTCCTAGTAAGTTCATCCATATTTTAAAATATAAATTTTAAAAAATAAATTTTCAAAAAAAATAAATTTTAAAAAATATTTTTTTTTTTTTTTTTAAAAAAAAAAAAAAAAAGTTTACAAAAAAAATAAAAAATAAATTTTACAAACAATAAGAAAAAATCAAAATATTATTCCAAAAAATATGATAAATTATTTTACAATAAATTTTATCACAAATTTTGTAGACATATTATGGGCAAGGTCTGGTTCATTCGTTTTTTACGATTATTCAAATCTTCTTTCAAACATTTTATATTTATACAATATGTTAAAATCAACTGCATCTAATTTTTCTTTGCTACAAATCCATTTGTTGCCATTCTTTTTTATTTCGATTAACCATTCAAATTCTCTAAAGCTTAAATACCACCAATTGGATGTCTTTTGACTGTATGAATAGTTTCCAGCATTTCTAATTATTCGTTGGTTGTTGGTTTGTTCCATATATTTTATCATTGCATGTTTTAATGGGATGTAATTTTTCGTTTCAATATTGTTTATCATTTTATGATGTTCTGTAACGTCCTTTTCTAACCGTTTTTCAGTTACAAATCCGTAACTGTCATCTTCTTCTTCTTCTTCTTCTTCTTCTTCTTCTGTTTTATTATCATTATCACTCAAAAAATCATCAATTATTTTAGTTTCCTGTTGTTCAATATAAGTTAAGAATTCATTGATAATTTCTTCCTGTTCAACCTCTGTAAATACAACCATTTGTATGATAATATATATAATTAATATTTCTTTAAGCACTTTTTACAAGAAATTAAATTAATAAATTAAAATTAAATTAATAAATTAAAATTAAATTAATAAATTAAAATTAAATTAACAAATTAAAATTAAATTAATAAATTAAAATTAAATTAATAAATTAAAATTAAATAAAATAAAATTAAGTTAATAAAATAAAATTAAATTAATAAATTAAAATTAAATTAATAAATTAAAATTATAATTAAATTATCATAATTAAATTATAATTGCTAAAATTGGATTATCATCATTAAAACTTAAATCCCGTGCAATTTTACAAACAGAACCACTGCCTGAAAATAATTCTAATAAATTCATATTATTAGAACTATTTGTATTTTAATTTTCAACAATTACATATTTACCATCATCGCCCTTAATTAGTTTATAATATTCTAATGTTTGTTCTTTTGGACTTTTGATTTGTCCCTTATTTAACATATCACAATATTTTTTACGCTTCGTGTCATAATCACCGCTGGGTCTGCCTATCCCTTTCTTTTCAAAGATCTTATCAATCTTTTCCTTCTCTTCATTGTTATTTTTTGGTTCGTTTGCCTTTGCATCAAGTTTCTGGTCAATAGTTTTTATCATCTCGTACAACAGTTTAACATTTTTACTAACTGTCATTATCTTCCTTGATAGTTCAGCAATAGCATCATTCTCAACTTCAGACATTTCTATATATAAATATTTATATAATTATTTATTTAAATATTTATTTATTTATAAAATTGATTTAATGTAAAATCTACTCTTTAAGTACTAAATTTTCATCATTTGTTTAATAGTTTCCTGTGCTTCGTTATCACCATTATCGGATGGCGATGCATGCCTTCCCCATTTAAAAGTTATATTATGAACATCCGTTTCCAGATTTATACTGTCTTTGGTTTTATCAATATTCATTTTCTTATCGTTTTTACTCAATTTGAAATTTGTCGGAATACACGAACATTTACAATTTCCTTTCTTTTGTATTTCTATTTCATTTTTCATTTCTAACATCTTTTTACACATAGGACACTCAAACTCGGTTAGTGCTGTTTCTTTAACAATTTCTTCTTCTTTGTCTTCATCTGTTGAAGAAACTGTAGTATCCGTTTTATTCTTTTTGTTTTTCTTTTTTCCCATTTATATTAATATTTACATTTTTATTTTTGATATATTGTATTCCTAATTTTATTAATTCTAATGAATAATAACAGCATTTTTTAATTTTATTGTCAGTTATTATTACTTGTTCTATATTCTCTACTTCATCTATTATATCAATATAATCTGAATAACTTCTATCCATATTAAATAATAAGATAAATTATTCTAATTAATCTTATTATTTTCATGCATAATAGAATATTGGTGGGGCACAGCACTTGGGTTTTCATTGCACACGCGAGCAAGACACAAAACTAATTATCTTCAATGCTTATTGATTGAAGCAATGGAAAACCTGTTCCATTATGTTATTCACCGCCACTCATAACATAATGATGTTCCATTTAATATTAATTACAAGTTAATTTTTAAATATAATTTTATATATTTCTTTAATATCAACTATGACAGATGTCCCAATAATAAAACCAATAAACATAACTGAATATGAATTCAAACAATCCAAATATGAGCACGTGCCAAAATTACCATTTAGAAGTATTATAGTTGCGAGTTCGACGGGAGGCAAAACAGTTTTAGTTCAGAATCTTATTTTAAATGTTTATAGAAATTCATTTGCAAGAATATTTATATTTTCACCCAGCGTTCATAATGACCCAACTTTTACAGAAGTTAAAAAATACATTAGGGATGAATTGCACGTAGATGATGAAAAAGAACAAATATATTTTGATAATTATAACCCAAGTGATTTAGAAAATGTAATTGAAAGACAGAAGAAAATAATTAATTATATGAAATCTAAAAAGATAAAGAAACTGCATTCAATATTAATCGTTATAGATGACCACGCAGACGATCCTAAATTTGTTAGATATAGTAAATTATTACATGGATTATTTACAAGAGGTAGGCACGATGCAGTAAGTGTAATTTGTTCAACACAAAAATATAATGTTTTAGCGCCTATCATTCGTTTAAATGCCAGTTCATTATATATTTTTAGGTTGAAAAATGCAAGTGAGTTAATGAGTTTTATTGAAGAAAATAGCGCCATTGTTGATAAACAGCAATTATTAGATATGTATCATCAAGCCGTTAATGACGCACCTTATAGTTTCTTCTACGTGAATATGAATGCTAAGGACATTAACAAAATGTTTCATATCAGATTTGAACAGGCGTTTCAAATTACGAATGATGAATAAAGATATTCTAATTTAATATAATATAATAATATGTCAATGAAACTATGTAGATGTGGTGGATTTTATCGTAGAGGTAATTATAATTTTCATACTAATTCTTGGATACATAAACTTTATAAAGTGTTAAAAAGACGACCAACAGACGAGGAATTATTAAGATTTCAAAATAATTTTGTTGATGAAGAAGATTTAACAGATGATATAAGTAGTACTACTTCAACAACAATACCAGAGGATAAAATGACAGATTATGATAGCAATTAATAATATTATTATATGTTAATATTACTAATTTAAATTAACGAAGCATTGCAAAATTGTAAAGCAGGAAGTTTATATATTAATTAGTCAGATTTTTCTTTCTCTAGTTTTTCAATTCGTGTCACACATTCTTGAAGAGATTTAATAATTAAAGTGTCTGCTCGTGTTTTTTC